GAACTGTCCAATCAGCCAGTTGCCTGGCATGTAGTGCCTAACTTCACATTCACCACCTCATTGGGTCTGCCCATTTCCACCCCACACCTAGGATCTGCCTGCTGCCCTCTTGAGCACCCGGGGTGACTTGCTCACCCAGTGCCACCACTTTTTGTGCTGTGACCACTGTATGCTCAGCCATCCAACTCTGCCCTGCCCACCAGTCTGGATGAATGTGACTATTTTAACTCCTTGGTTGTCAGACTTCCATACAGTTCAATTTTCTGTCAGTTCTGGTTGTTATTTTGTTTCTAAATTGTTGTTTTCCTTATTTTGATTTTGCAAGAAGGCACTGTGTGTCTACCTACACCTCCATCTTGGCCAGAAGTCAGGAGTAGTTTTCTAATGCTCCTCTTGAATTGTTGGGATTCAGATCTGAATAGCACTAGAATCCATCCATTGTCTCTTGCAATGTCATGCTAATTTTAAAAGTTTTGATAAATATCATAGGTTTTTTATTATTTTACATATATTATATACAAAATTGAATAAAAACAAAATATATAAGTACATAAATATACTTTAAGTTTTTTAATCAAAATGGTTTTTTAAGATTTTATTTATTTATTTTTAGAGAGGGAGGGGAGGGGGAGAGAGAGAGAGAGAGAGAAAGAGAAAGAGAAACATCAATGTTTGGTTGTTGGAGGTTATGGCCTGCAACCCAGGCATGTACCCTGGCTGGGAATCGAACCTGCAATACTTTGGTTCACAGCCCGAGCTCAGTCCACTGAGCTACACCAGCCAGGGCTATTTTAAGTTTTTTCATAGTCTAATCTGACATTTATTTCCACATTCCAAATAAAATTTTAGCACTGCTCTTTGGGGAACTCTAAGAACAACAGTGATTTGTGGCCAGTGTCTGCAAGGGCTGAAAGTTTTTTTGACTTTGAGGGGCCGCCAAGTTAGCACATCTTGACTACTGTCCTAAGCCTCCTGGTTGTTGTGAAGGACAAAGGTCAGGATACAGGGATGTGGCTGAAAGAGTCAGGTGAACATCAGTCCAACTAACACTGACCTCAGTAACAGGGTCTAGGGCCTCTTGGTCGGTCTTCTGTTGTGAACAATGTGGTGATGTCCAGGCTGGCTTGCAACAAAGTTTTCATGCATAAATATATGACTCACTGGAATCAAGTAGATGAGGAGATTACTAACTTTTAGAAAGTTCTGTGCAGCCAAAGGCAGTTTTGACTAAAACAAACTACGATCATTAGAGATTCAAAATAATTCTTGGCTCTTACCAAACCCAGGCAGAACATGGGCTGAGGGAACCATCCCCCAGGAGAGGCACAGCCCTTAACATGTGGCCAGAGAAGATCATGGAAGAAGACTCTCCCAGAAGGCTAAGGCTGAGACTGTGAGACACAGTGAGCAGGAGAGCTCCCTGCAGGAAGCATCTCATCAAGTCAAGGTCAGGAACCCATAAGCAGTGCCCCCTGGGGCCTGCTGCAGACCAACACTGTTGTCTCTCTTCACTCTCAGTTGTGGGGGACTTTACAGAACACAGTCCTGTAACTGTTCCATGATTGTGTATTGAGTGTGTGGAGGAAACAGTTTACTTCTTCTTGTTTGTTTTCTGCCTATTTGTTTCTTCATAGTGCTTCAAAGGAGTAACATCAATACCTGGGGGACAGTAAAGGATATCAATCAGAGACCCTCCCTCTGATCAGAAAGAGTCACTGAAAGGGCATCTAACTTGTCTCTCTGCCTCCTGCAGGGGGAAGAAGAGAGGAAATGAATTCTCAATTACAGGTGGAAGGCTGACGATGGAGTACACAGCAACTGCTCATTAATATCCAATTTCCTCTCCTTCTAGCAACCCAGAAGGACAACAAGTCTCCTGAAGACTGATGTGGCCACAGGGCTGCATGGGCTGAAGAAATGTGGGTAGAAATGGCCTGTTCCACATCTTGAGAGGGACGCTTAATTAGCTTAACTTTCAATATCTGCTCCTACAGACTATGGTGATTGATGAGCTATGTATTGATATGAATCTTCAGTTGTTACTAATCACATACACAGGAGCTGACCTGAAGGATCATCATGATTTCAACTGAGCTCTATGTATGTGCAAGAAATGAACCACTGATTTTTTTAATCACTGAGATTTTAAGGTCGGTTATTATGACAGCATCACCTGTCACACATAACATGACTGATGCCCCAAGCTTAATAAATACAGAAACAATTGTTTTACAAAGGCAGAATAATTTCTTCTCTAAACTTTTTCTTTTGATTGACTTTAGAGAGATAGAGGAAGGGAGAGAGAAAGAGAAACACTGATTTCACTCCACTTATTTATGCATTCATTTGCTGCTTCTTACATGTGCCCTGACCAGGGATGGAATCCACAGCCTTGGCTACTTGGGATGATGCTCCAACCAACTGAGCCACCCAGCCAGGGTAGGACAGAATAATCTTGATACTAAAGGCTGAATAAAATAAATGTTTTAAATATAGAATAACCTCACTCAATCAACATAAATTCTAAACTTCTAAGTATTAGCAAAAAATGGCAGAAACTATAAAAGGGTTGTGTATTGTAACCATGTTGGTTTTCATGTGATGTTTAACAAGTTAAATCAAAGTAATAACCCACATGAATAAAAACACCATTTAATAATCTCCATAGTTACACAAAAGTATAATGTATTCTAAAGAGTCACCCATAATAAAGAAATAAATTCTTGACTAATGAGAAATAAGAGAAAAACTTCCTCACTCTGGTGAAGGGTATATGTTATAAACACCATTTGTCCATAAAACCACAGGAAAATACCACTTCACCAACATGGCCACTAACAAGGCTTAATCAAATGACAGAAAATAAAAATAACTGGCAGGAATATAATGAAATTAAACCCCTTCTTAGACTCTTATGGTTGTGTAAAATGGTGCAGCCACATTAGAAAATGGCCTGAGAGTTTTTCAAACATTGAACATAGAACTATTGTATGATCCAGCAATTTCACTGCTACACATATATATACCCAAAAGGAATAAAATATCTGTGCACACAAAAACTTGTCTGTAAATGTTCATAACCAAACTGGAAGCAACCCATATGTGCATCAATTGATACATGAAATGTGGTATATCCATATATTGGAATATTGCGGGTAATAAAAAGTAATGCAGCACTCAAACATACTTCAACATGGATGAGCCCTAAACATTATGCTGGATGAAAAAGGCCATTGCAAGGGACCACATAGAGTATAATTTCATTTATAAGAAATAAGCAGAATGAGAATATCTGTAGAGACTGCCATTGTTTGAATGTTTGTATTCCCCAAAAATATGTTAGTTGTGTTGTAAACCTGAAAGGTGATAGAATTAAAAAGTGAAACTTCTATTGCAGTATTGCTGACTGACTGATTCCCAGTTCTGAGAAAGCAGTTCATATGTACAGTCACAAGAGGGGGTTGTTGCAGGGGGGAACTGAAGCTCCTTCCAGGGTGAGTTAGAGGTTATCCTTGAGCTGTGAGAGAACTTACTTTCACCCCCTTTGTCTCCTTGTCCTTTATAAACTCACACTGAGCTTGTGCACAGCCTCAAGGACAGGAATGAGCTCTCTCCCAAACACAGAGCCAAGAGCTGACCCCTCATGTGAAGAGAAAGGAAAGGTGATTAATAATTTTATTTTATTTTTTAAGATTTTTTAAAGATTTTATTTATTTATTTTTAGAGAGAGAAAGAGAGAGAGAGAAAGAGAGAGAGAGAAACATCAGTGTGCAGTTGCTGGGGGCTGTGGCCTGCAACCCAGGCATGTGCCCTGGTTGGGAATCGAACCTGCGATGCTTTGGTTCGCAGCCTGCGCTCAATCCACTGAGCTACGCCAGCCAGGGCTAATAATTTAATTTTAAATGGCCAAATATTTCTTCCTATAATGAAATAAGAAGCTTAATTATTGTAGCAGAGAAGGATGGATAAGTTTAATTTTATTCTATCCAATTTTATAAATAATAACTGCTTTTGAGAATAACCAGAGAAATTCCTTTATGTTTATTTCCATCTCTCTTATCAAAAGACTTTATTTTGTTTCCTTTTATATATTTTTGTTTCTCATCCTTCCTTCTCTGCCTTCACTTCCTTGTAGTGTACTCAGTATGGTACCCTAGGCAGAGGCATGGAGATGAAAAAATGTCTGTTAAAGACGGGATAAATGGAACACAAATAGGTACTATTCTATCATTGGTTACTGTGTCAAGACCAGGGGCATCCAACAACATCCATCAGAAGGGTGCTTAAGACAGTGTTCCCAAAGCCAACGCGGGAGAACTGAGTACAGACAACCTGGCCCCTAGAGTGGATTGTAATTGTATCTTGTCCTGTCAGACTGAGCTCAGGGGTGTTGTACAACTATGAAGTTATTTTGGTCATATATGTTGCAAATATTTTCTTGCATAGTGTCATTGAATTTTTATGAGCTTACAGTAATTTTTTACTAGAAAGAAGTTTCTAAATTTGGAAGTTAAATTATGTATTACTGGTTCTGACACTAGCTTGCTTTGGCTGGGAATATGCATAGAAATTCTCTTCTCCCCTTACAGCCCAAGGTTTAACATAGGTACTTGGATTAAAGGATATATCATATCAGCTCCATGCCCTGTACTACTAATGAGGCATGGTTAATTTCCATGTGGATAATGCTACTTATTCAGAGTTACTCAAACATAGATTATTTGAAAATGATCTCAGTGTAAACCCTCTGAATGAAGAGTAGACATGGGGAGAACTTACCCTCTTTCTAAATTTATGTTTAATTCTGTCGGTGGGGAAAAAAAAAACCAGTAAGGGACTGCTTTGTCTTTCACTGATGCCTGCCTGGGGAACACCCAATTGAAAGCTTCCTGGGTGAGGCTGTGCTAGTGACTGCTGTGTTGGCATTGGAACCTCCCCACACCTAGGATCAGACACAGATTCTGAGCTCTGAGGCCTGCAACCCCAGTTTGCACTTAACTATGAGACCAGTGATAGGAATCACTCTTTTCCTCACTTTGGGTAAGTGGTCTGGGTCTGAGAAAGGATGGCTTTTGTGGCTAAACAAAGGTCATGTACCTGCTGCTTTTACTTTTCACACTACCAATCTGCTGTGCGGGGAAAATACATCTATGTGTTTACATGTCTATGTGTTTTTTCAGAGAATCTGGCATTGCTGTGAGAATTTCTCACATCCATGACTCACAGAAGATCTCCTGAGTCACACAGCTCTGAGGCTCTAAGGAGCTTTGGGCTCACTGAGCTCAGGGGTCATGGAATACAGCAGTTGATCTTTGGCCTGTGACTCTGGACAGCTCAATAATAAATACCAGTAATATTTCTCTTGTCCTGTGCAACTCATATGAAAATGTTCATGTATAGGGCAAGGCCAGAGAGGGGTGCTCTGGAGTACTCATGACTCCAAATTTGACATCCCAGAGCTAATAATCTGTTGTTTCTCATCTCCTCAGGTATTATGGGCAATGCTAAGTCCACACAGCCAGATGCAGTGGAGAGTACTGAAGATGTAGCTGTGCACCTGCCCTGTAACCACTCCACAATCAGTGGAAATGAGGACATACATTGGTATCGACAGATTCCCCACCAGGGTCCAGAGTACATGATTCATGGTTTACAAGGCAATGTGACCCAAGGAACAGCCTTTCTCTACATCACAGCAGACAGAAAGTCCAGTACCCTGATCCTGACCCACATTACCCTGAGAGACTCTGCTGTGTACTACTGCATCATGAGAGACCCACAGTGGGAACCATGGGGCTGCACCTGTGCAATATCTCCCTGGAGGGAAAGGAAGCAGCAGCAGCAGCATCTAAAGAGGCCACTGCACCAGAAACAGCAGCAGCAGAAGAAAAGTAAAAGGGAAAAATATGGAAAAGAAGTGAAGAGAAGACAGTGAGGAAATCAAGGGGGAAAGACGGAAAGGAGCCCAGAAGGTGAAGAAGAAGCACTCATGTTATTGAAAGGACATAAAAAGCTTGCAAGGAAACTAAGAATCACAGTTGTAAACCTGCAATGAAGGGGACAGGAAATGAGAATTTTCCATGACTCTTGTTGAGTCAAATGTTGCTTTCTATAGGTCTCACTACAACAGGTGAGAACAACCATTAGTTTGTCCTAGAACTTTCATCCTTTGGACCCAGGAAAGTCCCAGGCTCTGGGTGTCACATCATATCAGGCATTCCAAACTCTCAGAAATGGAAATGAATTTCAGAAACTGAGATTTTTGTCCTCCAGGTCACTTGGAATTTCTTTGTTCCTTATCTGTAGCATACACAAAGGATTATATGGGGGGAGGAGTTTAAAAAATGGAAGCTGATATGTCGCTGTCAATTTAGTTTTTAAATGTATGTTGTACTATTTCCATTATTACACAAAAATACAACAGATGGCTTTTCTCATTGTATAAAACTCCAGATATTACATTACTTTGTAGATCAAAACCTAAAGTATATACCGGACTCTGCCCCCTCCATTCCATTTCCTCTTCAACCTCTGTGACCCATTTTGGCAGTTTTGAGTGTCCTATTATTTTTCTTTTTCTTTTACAAGGATACTTCTAGTAATATCTATGCATTTTCCTTACATAAGTTGGATCATTTCTGTCAATTTATTTAAAAGGAGTTTTTATTTTATAATTTAAAAACAATTTTGATATGTGCTCATACAAAACACCTATACACATACTTTATGGCATGCTTGTATAATGATTTAACTTGCTCACCTATTAATAATATTTAAATTTTTATATATCTTATTTATTATAACCTGAATCATAAATCAACAACACCCTTTCTGGTGTGGTTCAGTGGACTGAGTGCTGGCATAGGAACCAAAGCATCACCAGTTTGATTTCCCAGTCAGGGCACATGCCTGGGTTACAGGCCAGGTCCCCAATAGAGGGCACACGAGAGGCAACTGCACATTTATGTTTCTCTCCCACTCTCTCCCTCCCTTCCCCTGTCTCTAAAAATAAGTAAAATCTTTAAATAAATAAATGAATAAATAATTCAACAACTGTCCTGAACATATACAACCATGTAATATGAAAAATGGTAACATTTATTGAAGAAGATACAAGATAAAAGAAACATTGTATATAGGACAATGATGCCTCAGGCCCCTTCAAAGTAGGCTCCATGGGACCTCACACATACTCCAAATCTCCATCAGCTGTCGCATTTTACATTCCTGAAACTCATCAACGGTCTGCAATGTCTTCCCTTTCAAAGGTGATTTTAATTTTGGGAAAAGCCAAAAGTCACAGGGCACCAAATCTAGGCTGTAGGGGGACTGAGTCACCTAGGTAATTTGATGTTTCACCAAAACACTTTGCACTAGACACAATGCTTGAGCGGGCATGTCGTCGTGATGAAGATGCCAGTCACCACTTGCCCATAGATGTGGCCTTCTATATCATCCTAATAGTCTCCACAGAAGAATGTTTAAGCTTAACACAAAGTATGATGCAGATGCATTGCTCTGTTTACTCAGTCATTTTGAATGTGATGGCCACACAGCACACATGCTCACTCAGTGGTGTCCACTGCTGTCACTGGCTAGTATAGTGAAGTCATCATTGTTCACACATGTGCATTCTAGTCCACTCTCCTTGGCTGCCAGGTTACATCAATATTGGACAAACAATTCTCATTACATTAATAATAGCTGGACTTTTTTCAGACAGCCCTTCATGTCTATACAAATGTACAAATATGTATGTACAAAAATGTACAAATATGTGTTGATTTGTGCACATACATAGAGAATATATATGCACATATGTGTATGTGCATATATATTATACATGTGTATGTGTATATAATATACTTTTATACAGATATACAGATATGCATTATACATATATAAGCATATACATATATGTGTGTGTGCATATATGTATATGTGTATATACATATATGTGTGTGTATATGTATTCCTTAATCTTATTCTCAGAGGTGAAATTGCTGAGCCAAAGGATAAGCCTATTTTATGTTTTTATAGATATTGAAAAATTATTTTCTAAAATGGCTCACTTGTTTGTTTTATTGATTAGATTCCACTTATAGGTGAGATCATAAGGTGTTTGTCTTTCACAGCCTAGCTTATTTCACTTAGCATAATGCTCTGCAGGTCCATCTATGCTGTGGTGAAGGGTAGGAGTCCTTTCTTTCTTTCTGCTGCATAGAATTCCATTGTGTAAATGTACCACAGTTTTTGATCCACTCAGTTACAGATGAGCACTTAGGCTGTTTTCAACACTTGGCTAGGCTATTGTAAATAATACTGCTGTGAACATGGAGGTGCACAGGTTTTTTTGAATTGGTATTTCAGGATTATTAGGGTATAATCCCAGAAGGGGAATTGCTGGGTCAAAATGCAGTTCAATTTGTAGTTTTTTAAGGAGATTCCATACCGTTTTTCACAGTGGCTGCACCAGTCTGCATTCCCACCAACACTGTACTAGGGTTCCCTTTTCTCTGCAACCTAGCCAACAGTTGTTTGTTGACTTGTTTATGATGGTCATTCTGACTGCTGTGAAGGGGTATCTCATTGTGGTTTTAATTTATATCTCTCTGATGACTAGTGATGTTGAGAATCCTTTCATATGTCTCTGGGCCCTCTGTATGTCCTCCTTGGAAAAGTGTCTGTCCAGGTCCTTTGCCCACTTTTTAACTGGATTTTCTTATCTTCCTGAAGTGGGGTCATGTGAGTCCTTCATATATTTTGGAGATCAAACCCTTGTCTGAGGTATCATTGACAAATATATTTTCCCCTACAGTTGGTTCCCTTTCCATTTTGATAATGTTTTCTTTAGCCATGCAGAAGCTTTTTAATTTGATGTAGTCACATTTGTTTATCCTTTCCTTTATATCCCTTGCTCTAGAGGACATATCAGTGAAAATACTGCTGTGTGGAATCTGTCCTGGACATATGTGGGCACATGTGGGACTGCCTGGTCCACCAGCCACAGCTTTGTCCTCCAGCCGCCACCTTGCCATGCATCTTCTCTGCCCCAGCTGCCCATCTCCACCCTTCCTATCAGTCTGGATGAATGTTTCTCCTTTCAACTCCTTGGTTGTTGTTCTTCCATACAGTATGATTTTCTGGCAATTCTGGTTATCTTTTGTTCTTAAATTTGTTGTTGGCATTCTTTTGGTTGTGTGGGGAGGCAAAGTGTATCTACCTACGCCTCCACCTTGGCCAGAAGTGCTGTAGTTTTCTTTCTTTGTTGTGCCTGTTTCTGGTTTGGGGGTTAGGATGATGCTGGCCTCATAAAAATAGTTGAGAAGTCTTTCCTCTTCTTGGATTTTTTGGCATAATTTGAGAAGAATAGGAGTTAGGTCTTCCTTAAATGTTTTAGAAAATTTTTCTTTGAATCCATCCAGGCCAGGGCTTTTGTGTGCTGGGAGTTTTTTGGTTACTGCTTCAATTTCACTAGCTGTTATCTGTCTGTGAGGCTTCCTGCTTCCTCTTGATTTGGTTTTGGAAGATTATATGTTTCTAGAAATCTGTCCATTTCACCCAGGTTTTCAAATTTTTGGCATATAGTTATTCTTACTAATTTCTTACAGTCTTTTGTATTACTGTGGTCTCAGTTGTAATTTCTCTTCTTTCATTTCTGATTTTATTTATTTGGGCCTTTTCTCTGTTTTGCTTGATGCAGACTCATTAATTTAAAAAATTTTCTGTTGGTTATGCACACACGTACCCTCATACCCTCTCATGAGCCAACTCACACCCTCTCCTATTCTTTCCAAATGGTGCCACCTTAGATAGGACCCACCTGCTTCCCTATCACCAGCCATACTGTCATCTGTATCTCAGTGTCTGGGATGGTCATCACTCTCAGTGTCACATCTGTTTTGTTCCCATTAATCCTCTGCCTAAACTGGAAGCAGCTTAAAGAAATGTTCCCCTCAGCAGGTAAAATAATGTTATTTCCAAGTAAACTCAGAGAAAATCCATTGCTAGAAGAAACCCCATAAGACATACTAAAGGAAGTTCTTCAGGATGAAATGAAATGGTACCAGATGATAACTTGAATGCACATAAAGAATTATAGGCACAGGTAAAGGTAATTATGTAAGTAGATATAAAAAGAAGTTTTTATTTTTCTTTTATTCTCTTAATTGACTTAAAAGAAAATTGCATAGAACTATAAACTTCAAATTTTATTGTAGGATTGTAGTCTATTGAGTATAACATATTAATAATAAGAGCACAAAGAAGAGGCAGGTAATGGAGCTATTTAAGAGGAAGAAAATGACACCCGTCAGTTGCTGAGATCCACAGGACAACACCAGAAATGGCAAATATTCATATTAATATAAAGTACTCTAAAATATGTTTTTCTTTTCTCCTCTTAATTAAAAGAAAAGGACACAGGATTTTCTAAAACAAAATCTAAATGCACTGTTGTTGGATTATAATTGATACAGACATAGTACATACACAGTAATAGCCCTAAAGAGGAGAGAAGAAATAGAGCTATATTAGAACAAAGTGTCGGTATTTTATTGAAATCAAGTTAGCATCTATCTGCCCAAGACTGTGATAAATTAAGATGTATATTGTAGGAAATCCAGTTTTATGTTCCACACGTGAGGACCCTGGAAGTCATCACTGAGTCCTAGCAACAAGTAAAAAGCTGAACGGACTGAAGCATCACCAAGTCTTCTTGGACCCACAAGAAAGATGGGAGGACACAAGACAAACCAATGTGCTCTGGATTAGAAAGAGAC